TTTTGGTGTCGTGCAGAGATGGCTTTCAGAGGTTACACTAGGTCAGGAAAAGACCCCCCCCCCCCCTCCGGTACACTTGCATTATTTTCTTTTTTGGTTTGTGAAATCAAACACCACACCATATGTTCAATATGACTATTATTCTGTGACTTTTAACCTTTTTTTTTTTATTGTACATCAAGGGCCACCTTCCAAAACTGCAAGTGCCAAAGTGACCTCTGGAGCAAAGGAAGTAACTAATGCAAAGATCAGCATGGTCAGGTAAATCTGCTGGGAAGTATGGTAAAGAAATGCTATTAAGAATGTGGTACAAATTTGCAACAATGTGCAAAATTGTGATTAAAAAAACAGTTAAATTGCCACCTCAAATTAATATCTGACTTTTGGATGGGCTTTATGTAGTAGAGACTTCAACAGTAAGTCTTACCTACAGCAGATTGTGTAACTACCCTTTTCCATTAGGCTGTACAAAAATTATCTTATGCAAGCCAATTCTCCTGTTTTTATTGTATTTAAAGTGTATTTCTTTTACAGGACAGCAGTTGCCTCCCCCAACAAACCTAAATCAGTAACACAAAAAGGTAAGCATTTTTAATTTCTGCCGTCTGTCTTCTTCCCGACATCACCCAGGGTAATAGTGGAGTCATGGGCAAGAAAGCTGCAGTTCCTGAAGAGCACATTCTCCAACCATTTTGCATAAATCCTAGGACCACACAGGGATTAAAAAAACACTTCTGGCTTACAGTGTTTCACTTTTGTAGCCAAGCAACAGAAAGAAAAAGTTTTTCTGCTATGGGTCATGGCGGAGTGGCAAGGCCTACACACTCCCTGGATTGAGCCAAAATATTGTAACCAAGGGATGGTGTGGGATATAAATGATATTTTGCCCTTACAAGTTGCATAGCTTTGGTGCAGATGTTAAACTACTGTATTCATTAGATATTATTATTACCATAGATATCAGCTCTTCCACTTTAAGAGGAAGCAGAAAAGGAAATTCTGCTAACTATAGGCAGTGCCACTTGAGCCATTTCCCCACAGGCATAAAAGCACACTCCCACACCATCCCACTCAGGCATCAACAGCGAGGCTCTTTCTTTCCATACACCATACATCAGAGGTAGGGCATCAGCTCTGAGGAAAGGGATTCGTCCCCGAAACGCATCAGCCATTTGACCGCACTGACAGTGAGAACACCTTGCCCGCCGTTGTGGCCATTGTCATTTTTCTATGCTTTTTAGATACATGCTTCGTCTGTGAGTATGTTTTTATTATTCTTTCACTCCTACAATAAACCTTGGATAATGCACTAGGTGTGTGCGCCACCTGTTTTCTCTCTATCCAGTGGCTGATTTCCCTGTCTGAGGAGGGCTGCACCCCTGGAACATTTCCTTTGGTTGTCGCTGTCCTGGTACCCTTGGCTTCCCTTTTTGGCTGTGCATATCCTGAGGCGCTGGAGAGTACATACGATATAGGCAGTGCATATTGTTTCAGAGCCCAGCCTAATACTTTGTCTTTTATTTCTTACTGCATTGCAAATCTCCCTTAGTAAGCGATCTTATTTTCTTTCAGATCCAGCATCTCCACTCAAACCTCCTGCCAGCCAAATAACTCGCCAGCAAACCAGGGATAAGGGGACTCAGCAGTCCTCATTGCTAGCGGTGTCAAAAGCTGAAGCTGTCAAGAAGAGCGTTGAGGGTGCTCAGCCTTCCAAACCTAAAGCTGAAGGAGGAAACTCTACACCCACAAAGCAGAATGGAGCTGCTAAAAAGGATGTAGGAAGACTGACGCAGCATGGGATAGTGCCAAAAGATAAGACACCGTGCCTTCAAACAGAAATTAGTGGGTCTGGGCCAACAAAACCTCTAGCATCCTCATCTAGCCCAGCCAAGCCTGTGAAGATGCCATTAACCCTGAATAAACCAGCAAAGAGTGTGCCTGCACCAAATAAGCCTGTTAACACTTCACCATTACCAGCTAATGCTGTTAAAATCAAATCTTCATCGCCCAAATTAACTAACACAACCTCACCTACTACTAAAATAGTTAAAACTGCTTCTCCCTTAGTTAAGACCCCAAGACAGACTTCAGTGCCAACCAAAACATCAATTCCTCCTACTTCAGCAATGAATCAAATTAGTGCCACATCATCTCCAGCAAAGTCAGGCAAGACAACTCTGGTTAAACCGATGAACACCATATCCACATCTAACCACGTTAAAGTGGCAAAACAAACAACTGCAATGAATAAGCAGCCTTCTGTGCTAAATAAACCAACAAACCACTCACCTGTAACATCTAAACCAGGCACAATGATTGGTAAAGCTATGAATGAAAAGCGTCCTGTACCCAAACCAGTAAAGAGTGGGGAGTCCCAGCAGGTCATTAATCAACAAAAGCTGGACAGTTCTGAAATGAATGTAAAGGTGGTTGAAGTGGTACAAGCTCATACAGAACAAACAGATACATGTCTAGCACTAGTTAACAAAAGCAAGGCCCCAGAAAATATTGTTGAATCTGCAGAAGGACTGTTAGGTGATGCTCAGTCAGCATTAGAACCTTGCATTGTGTCCACTGAATTGTCAGCTGAATCATGTCCTGTAGATTCAGAATTGCAACAGTCAGGATCTTTGGGTCAGTGTGAGATTTCTCTGAGGGATCTCAATAACCACATAAAAACAGATGAAGAAAGAGTAAGATCTGCAGAACAAAAAACTACTACTGCAACAATTGAACTTTCACAAGAAGCTCTGAAAACATCTCTAGAACTAGTTAACTCCTTAGAAGAAGGGACCACATCTCCACTCAGTTTACAAGAAGAAAAAGTGTCTCCTCTGGAACTAACAAAAACACTTCTAGAAACAACAAGCTCCTTAGAGGAAGAAGTGATAAGCAAACCTGTACAGGATGAATTGAGTTCTCCCTTGGAATATTCAGAAATGTTGATGGATCTGAAAATATTGTCAGAAGTAAATGTAAAAATCCCTGTAGAGGTATTACAAGGAGAATCAATCCCACCATTAGATGGAATGGTAGAAACACCAGTATTGATTCCAGAAGAAGTGCCACCTTCAGTCAAACTGAGTGAACCTTTACCTGTACAACAAACATCATTATGTGAAACAGCTATCCTTTTAAAAGAAGAATTGCACAACACAGTAGAGCTTGCCCATCACTCAGATGAAGAAGTGGAGCTTCTAGAAAGAGCAGCACATGAAGACAAAGACTTTGACGGAGAACAGGTATGTCCACAAAAACCTTTAGAGGAAGAAATATTTTCCCCAGTGGAGCAAGCAGAACCATCAGACGAAGTGCAGACATCATCTTTGGAGCAAGTCACACCCTTAGAGGAAGGCGTAGACCTATCAGAGGATGAAATAGGCTTTGTAGATGAACCAAATACAACTTTAAAAGAAAAAGCTAACATTTTACTAAGACACACAGAAGACTCTGTAACATTACCTACAGATTTCTGCAAACCATTAGAAATCCAGGTCACCTCATCCATGGAGGAGGTTACTCCATCAGATGAAGAAATGGAACTTTCAAGGGCAGAAGATGCAACTTTGCAGGAACAAATAAGCTCAGAGGAGCCACATGGAGAAGACAGTAAATGTTCAACTGACCTATATAAGGCAACAGAAGTAGTAATGACTAGTTCAGTAAAAGCAGCTGAAAACATACAAGAGGACACAAAAACAGCAGGAAAACCTGAACAACTAAGTGTGACCCTTCCAGAAGAATCTTACCAACCATTAGATGAACTGCTACAATCACTAGCTAAACCAACAGATAACGTTGAAAAAGAATTTGAAAGCATAAAATGTGTAACAGACAAAACAACATTTCCAGAAGAATCAAACTCTGCTTTAATGTTAGCAGAGTCAGTTACATATCTAGAGGGTATAGATGGCACTAAAGTTGAAACACACAACCGCTTACAAAAGAACAATTCATTTTAGGAAATCCTGTAGAAGATACAGAACTCATTAAATCACTTGAGTCTGCAAAGAAGCAAGAGAAGACACCAATATTCAAATTATCTGTGGAAAACTATCCAGTTAATCAGTCTAATTCTTTAACAGAGCCAGTTGGGTATGAATCAGAAAGTGCCAGCGATTTTGTGGTGGAATTAGAGGAACATTTAGAGCAAGGTAACAATACAACAAACCAGGATTTAGAACAATTTCCAGAAGAGCCACTGATTGAAACCATAAAGGGTGAAGCAGAAACCAATAAGTCAGCTGACGTAAACATGTTTGAAGAACAGGAAAATATGATAGACACATCAGCAAAAGAGAGCCAACAGAGCCTTTTATTACAGAGGGAAAACAACTAGACTCAGCAGAGACTGAAATGGACTATGTGTGTTCTCCAATAAATCCAGAGCAACCTGGCCTTAACTCCGTAATGTTCCCAGAGGAACCATTAACATCTCTAAAGCAGTCTGAAATGGCCTTATTGGAAACAGCTAGCTATTTCGTGGAAACACCAAAATCTTCATTAGAGCCACTGAAACATGCAAATCATGCAAAAGAGGCTATGGCTTCGTCAATATGTGAATTAATGGGATCACCTGGGGATCTGGTAACTGCAGCAGTCACTGCAGTGTGTCAGGCAGTGGACAAAACAGCATCTCAATTCAAAGAATATTCAGAGAGTGCAGAAACAGGGCCAATACATAGCATCTCTATAACAGATACTTTGCCAAGTCACCCAACTGATGTTCTGTTGGAATCAGCTGAGCAAATTACGATCATGGAGATTGCAAAGAAATCTAAGCCACCAGAGGAGGAACCATATATCAGTATGCAGGAAGAGGAGGATACTGCCACAATACAGCCCTTAGGAGAAAAGGCAAACTTTCAAGTCTTTGAAGGGCAGAAGGACCCTTTGCAATTAATACCTTGGCATGTGGAGGAACAAAAGGAGCCAATCAATTTAATAACTATGCCTATAATAGAGCAAAAGGAATCTACTGATTTAATAACTGTGCCTGTAGAAGAGGAAAAGGAACCCAATGATTTAATAACTGTGCCTGTCGAAGAGGAAAGGGAACTTACGGATACAATAACTATGCTTGTGGAAGAGGAAAAGGAACCTATTGATATAATAACTATATCTATGGAAGAGGAAAGGAAACCCAATGATGTATTAACTGTGCCTGTTGAAGAGGAAAGGGAACCTACTGAAATAACTATACCTGTGGAAGAGGAAAAGGAACCTATGGATATAATAACTATGCCTGTGGAAGAGGAAAAGAAATCCAATGATGTATTTATGGTGCCTGTTGAAGAGGAAAGGGAACCTACTGAAATAACTATACCTGTGGAAGAGGAAAAGGAACCTACTGAAATAATAACTATGCTTGTGGAAGAGGAAAAGGAACCTATGGATATAATAACCATGCCTGTGGAAGAGGAAAAGGAGCCTATTGATATAATTATGCTTGTGGAAGAGGAAAATGAACCTATTAATATAACAACTCTACCCGTGGAAGTGGAAAAGGAACCTATGGATATAATAGCTATGCCTGTGAAAGAGGAAAAGGAATCTATGGATATAATAAATATGTCTGTGGAAGAGGAAAAGGAACCTATTGGTATAATGATGCCTGTGGAAGAGGAAAGGAAACCTACTGATATAACTTTGCCTATGGAGGAGGGAAAGGATCCTAGCAATATAGTACCTGTGCCAGTGGTTGAGCAAAAGGAACCTATTGATTTAATAACTATGCCTCTGTTAGAGCAAAACAAACGTGATGATTTAATAACTGTGCCTCTGGCAACACAAATGGAAAAGTGTTACTTATTAGATCAAGCTGAAGAACCACTAGCAACTTTAGCAGACTTGGTCACAGATAAACAGAAGACAACAGAAGTGGAGCCAATCACTCATACCATAGAGACAGAACGAATACCACATATACCATTGGCTGAGACAGAGTCTCCAGGTATTTTTCATCCAACAGAAGCAACATGGAGCCTCTCTACAAACACTGAATCTGACAACTCTCCAACAGACATAAGAGAAGCATCAAGTAAGCCTCTTTCATTACCCGCTGATGATCATCTACAACAACACAAGACTGTCACTACTGATTATCTTCCAGGGAAAACTGTGAACCCAGCAGAAGCCACAGGAATTACTGCAGAGACAATAACCTTTTCAGATGAAGGGATCAAAGGAACTATTCAGCCTTTATCAAGTAAAAACCTATGTGAGGTTAATGACAAACCTGATTTGCTTATAGGCCCTACAAAGATAGTAGATTCCTGGCTAACCAGTCAGAAGTCGGAGAAGGAACAGTGGGTGCTTGTGGAGAAAGAGGAACTTGCAGATTTCAAGGAAGAGGGAGAAGATAAGCTGCCAAGGCCAGCCAGCCTAAATCAAGAAGGAGATAACCAAGAGGAACCCAAGGCAGAGGAAGAGGCAGTAGAAAGGGCCTCGGTGTGCAGCACTCTGAGTGACCCGCAACTGGCAGGAAAAAGCAGTAGTGAGACCAGTACTCCTGAAGAACTTAGAACTTATGAAGATTCTAGTTCCGGAGTGGAATCCCACTCAGATGATGTAGCCACATCACCACAAACCACACTAACTCCTGACCCAGATCTAGGTATCCACATGGGCCAGGAAGAAGGGTCAGACACCCCAGCAGGAACTCCAGCCTCAAAGAGCAATCGGGCACCTCATCCTCTCCAGAATGCCAGCCTTGAGGAGCTCTCTGAAGGGACTTCTCTCTCTAGTGTTATTAAATCCTCAGAGGATAACACAATAGCCCATAAAATGGATATGACTGCTTTACATGCCCCCAGGTTTCATCAGTTTCCAGAGAACAAGGATATGAAGAGAGAGCAGAAGAAAGAGGTCCCCTGAGAGGTAATGATGACTGACTGTGTAATGTGTGGAGTAAAGATCTACTACAATTCTAAGAAGACCAGGGGGTGATTATAGGAGGGTGGGATACCATAAATCTGACAGAAGGGTGGTTTCAGTCCAGCAACCAAGCATCCAGTATAATAGACCAATAAAGCCACATATCACATCATCTGTCTGTCGCCTGATGTATTTTTTCCATTCCCCAGAATCCTTTTTCTCTTTCCGTCTAGTCCCCCTCATAACTTCTCCCCATTAGCTCTTAATGTTTTCATTCGGTACACAGTTTATCTGTGTTTCTTTTTTTTTTTTTTAATCTACAAATGTTATAATAAACATTGATTTATTTTGTACAGTTGGTGACCTCTGTTTTTATTTAAGCATGTGCCATTTGTGTTTCCCTTATTTCAGTGCTGTGACTTGTTACCGTCATTAACGTGGCACTTGTGTGTAACTGGAGTGCTGTGCAGTAATGTGGTATGTGCACTGTAAATGTGTTTGCGTTTATTATTTTTTTTGGACCTGAATGTTCCTCATGCATTGTTGTACACAGACCTGTGGCCAGGCTAAACTTCTGAGATAACGTAAATCTGAATATTTTATTATACAAACTTGTGTACCCTTTTAATTTGAGAAATGCAAAAGGTAAAAAAAAAAAGCATGCAACACCTGAAATTTAGGATCCTACTATATGCCACCAAGTCAATTGGCAGGATCCAGCAAAGCATTTAGGTGGACAGTTGTAATAAAAGAATTTGTCAAGATTCAACCCTGACAGCTTCAGAGAGAATCACTACAGCTATATTCAAGTAGGTCTTGTTGTCAGGCCTAAGCTCTGGCAGTATCAACTGTGAGCTAAGGTCTCTACAGCACCCAAGAGACTCTTCGGAGCTGCATGCAAGTGGACTCCCTGCAAAAGTAATTAAACTTTGATTAGGTTGAGACACTTAGGGGTTTATTTACTAAAGCTGGAGAGTCCAAAATCAGACTCCCTTCTGCATAGAAACCAATCAGCTTCCAGGTTTCATTGCCAAAGCTTCATTGAACAAGCTGAGGTTAGAAGCTGATTGCTTTCTATGCAGATTGGAGTCTGAATTTGGACTCTCCAGCTTTAGTAAATAAACCCCTTAAAGTCCGATTTTCACAGATGGCGCCTCAGCAGTAGAGGAATGGGATAACAGGAAGTGGAAGCTTCTGACAGCGGGAACTGTTAGCAGATGGTTGTAACAAAAGCTTTGTTGTGCAATCTGAACACTCTGAAAATGTTTTCTGAAGATGTTCAGGCTGCAGGATGGCATTACTTTCATTACACCTGTCATGCTGGGCTCCAGCTGCAGTATATAAAAGGATCCGACATTCCCAGAATTGTTGGATTCCTATTAGCTTTGCAGTGCTCCCAAATATAAGAGAGCTCATATAAAAACCATTGGCTACACAAGTTTTCTACAGCATTAATTAAAGGGGTTTACGATTAGAAGTGTAACCTAGTAATGAGGTCTCTGTAAGTAAACCAAGTTCAACAATCCCCCCCCCCCCCCCTTTCCCATTGTTCCCTGAAAACATGTTCATTTTTTTTTTTATCATTTTCCCATCATGTCTCTCCTTTTAAGTTTTTTGGCATCATTCTACCTAAGTTTGCTTGTCATTCTTTTTTCTTTTTATTCACTTCATTGTGACATTGATACAATTCAAGGACACCAACTTAGAGGGACATTCCCCCATAAACTGAAATTCACTATTTTCAAGACCCAACAAAAATGCGTTGACTGTATGTTGAGCAAAAACTTTTTATTTAGGTTTTAGCATTAATAGTGGAAGGTTAGAATCCATGTTGGTTTATTTTTTTTAATGGTTGTGTCCCATTGTTACCGGAACAGGTGTCCCCATTGAAAAATTTCCCCTCTTCTCTTCTAACAAAAACAGCAGATTGAACAAAAATAAAAGAAATGACCCAATTCCCCCATCCACACACTACTGCCGTTGAGTTATTGTATTCTGATGCAATAGGTTTATTAAAGTTTTACAACCATAACAAAGAAGTTGTTTGAATTATTGTATTCTGACAACGGGGAGACTTCCCCACTGTCAGAATACAGTGATCACTGCTACCGGCTGTAGCCGACGGCACTGATCGTTCAGGAAAAACCCAACATTGTAGCTGTACAGAAGTTGATTGGTAGATTGACTTCTGCACGAGTCTGTCCATACATGGATTGAAATTTGACCAGTTCAGCAGGGATCAAACAAATTTCAGTCCAAGTATGGCTGGCTCAGCAGAGAGGGTGGATCGATCTATAGAGCTAGCCCGTGGGGACACAGCGCAACAAAACCTTGGCAAGGGTTCTATTCCTTCCACACTCCATCCAGTGGGCTATTCTTTCCACACTCTAATCAGTGGACTATACATACACAATAACAGTGATCTGTTAATCATGTTCAATCAAAACTGATCATTCTAAAATGATTAACACGTAGATCTCCCCAACAGCAGTAAAAAAAAATACACCCTGACTATTTCTAAGACTTTCCCATTCTATCCAAAATGTAAAAAAAAAAATCTTAATCTGTGAAAGTATCAACCCTGGGGCAGAGGTAGAACCAACCAAATTGACAGCATAAAGTAAAACTTTTATTTTTATTATTTTGTATAGAGAAAGGAGGGGTTGTAAGCCCTGTCAAGTTTTTATTACCATCTGTGTTCCATTGGGGAGATTTCCCTTCATTTCCTTTCCCCATAGGCATAGCAGGACATCCCTCTATAGTCAAGGGATATCCTTCCACTTGAAAACTTCCCCTCTATTCCTGTTCTGGTGTCCACTCACAATTTGTGGTTTTCTTTCATTTTCACTTGGCTTTAGGATCATTTTAAAGTGGATGAAGGCCCATTGTAAAAGTCCCTGAAATGCACCGTGGCTCATGCGTTACAGTAATGCAGATAGTGAAAAGCATACCTTATAATGCTGCTCCAAGCTGTGGATGGAAGGAAAAAAAAAAAAAAAAATCACTCCATCAGCAAGTGAGAAGAGGGGAACATGAGTTCGAGCGATTCCAGTGTCAGTCAATACAAGTGAAGAGATGGACCCTGCTCAACCGACCCCAGGAGTCCAATGTTGAAGAATGTTAAGGAACGGCCTAACGCGCCATTTTTGCCACACCATCTGTTGTGTTTCGCCCTGCCCAACGGGGCTTGGTCAGAGGTATGTGACCAAGCCCTGGTGTGGGGGGCGAAACATGTCAGAGGGTGTGACCAGAATGGTGGCTGAGGCCATTCCTTAACATTGGACTCCTGGGGTCAGTTGAGCAGCATCCATCCCTTCACTTGCAGTAATGCAGGCTACCATAGCACACATATACCAATTTGCGGATTGATATAAACATAGCAAGGTGAATGTACATTGAGTTTAATGAATGAGGCGGTGCTAAGTGTTCAGTCCTGATTACTGTAGTAAATCAGCTCCATAGGAGTGCTGTACAGCGGTATTTAAGCCATTTCTAGGAGGGGAATTTCAGTTGGATAAGTTTTGATGCACCATATTTATGCGCAAGCACCTTTTACTGCGTATTTTTAAACGTTACGTGCACAAAAAAGTAACAGGGATCATCTTTAGCCATATTAAAAGTAAATTCAACTCAAAATAATTTTCTCATTGAAACATTGCTTTCCAAAGACTGATAACCCCCTCAAAGAACTGCCCCACAGGGAAGGGGCACGGTTCCTCACAGCAGTTTATTTTTTCTTACCAATCATCAGTTACTTCGGAAAGCATTCACCTAAGTCACCCATGACCCTCTCACACCCAGTTCTCTACCCTCCCACTAGTGCAACTGTAAATTGTGGGCAACTAATTGTGACGGGTAAGCTTCTCCTCACAGTAGCCACTCATTGGTCTGCATTCGCTCTATCTCTGCTCCACAAAGATGTTGGTTGCTGTGAGCCTTTTTTATTTTTTACAGTAATTATATACAATCTTCCAAAAAAATAAAAGTGATGACTGGAAAATAAAATGGCAACATCGCAATAGTTCATGTGCATTTTACTGCAACTAACCAGTCAGATTCAAGCTGTTAAAGTGTATCTATAGTCACAATGGGGAAAGATGCAAACTCTTGTCAGGTTTCATGGGTATCCAGGGCTTCTTTAGAGAGATTTTCCTCTACTTGCAGTAAACTTTTTTTTTCACCAAAACGGAAGTATGGGAAAATATGCAACAGGGTAAGACAAACAAATAAAAAGCAGACCCCATTCCTATACTTAAAACAGACCTTCATCCTCTTTACTTTCCATAATCCCTTCACTCCTGTTACACAATTGGACATTTAAAGCATATCTCCAACTTTGTCACTTTAACTGGCTCAAACAGGCTATTTTCTACACTAACAGGTGCACCCTCTGGCCTCAGCTATATACAGTATACAGCACTGTGTCCCAGCACCATCCCATACCCGGAAAAAATTGAGTCGGGCTAAATGCTGCTCAGCCATTTATAGGCAGCTTTGCATTTTCTGAATACAAAGCTTCTTCTGATCGGCTGAAATGGAGAGTAGGGCGCATACCATCACGATCTCCAGCTCAGCCAGAGGAAGCTTTCTAATCATTCGGAGAATACAAAGCTGCCTATAAATGGCTGAGCAGCACTTAGCCTGACTCAATTTTGTTGCGGGTGTGGGACGGGAAGTTCCCATCCCACAGCTGAAACATAGCACTGTACACTGTATGTAGCCGAGACATTTTCTACAGTACGCCCAGCGAGCACACCTTTTAATGTAGAAAATGAAGTGACTTAAAGAAATGGAAACTTGACACCATAGTGCTAAGAACTCCAAGAGAAGCTGACCACAGTACTTCTGATAATGGCAACCACTATGAAACCCGGACTGGATGATGGAGGCATTGCAGCCCTCTTAACAAGGGGGAATCTTGTAACTGCACAAACAATGAAAAAAAAAATAAGGGGCACAAATATCTAGCACATTATCTCCAGCCAAAGTTCTGCTCAGAAGGGGGCTTGTCCCTTAAAACGTCTCAACTGGTGATATCATCCACTTGAACCTGAGGAGTTCCATTGATGGGCTTGCTTTTGGTTCCTGGGTTTTATACAACACTGTGTCCACAATGGTTTTGAGTATTTTTCATCTTTCAATAAAGTGCTGAGATAATGCACGAGGCATTTGTGCCGTTTGTTTTTAATTGTTTGTGATAAGTGATGGTAAAGGAGATCATCTTTTAAAAATTTTTTAAATTTGGCCCTACCGAATTGGAGTGGGCTGAGGTAAGAATTTCTGCACACAGAAGGTTTTTAACCTTTATGCATAGTATACATGAAGGTAAAAACCCTTGAGCCTTTACAACCACCTTACTTTAACCTTTTCCCGCCGGCCATTTGCATATATGTGGCCTCTCGGCGGGTTGGCCTTAACTGTGAGAGGCTGCATCTATGCGTAGAAAAATGGTAACAATGCTGTGCCAAAAGCACGCGTCCTGTACGCTCCCAAAACCGTTGTGTGGGTAATGGAAAGCTCCCAATTGCTACTTATGATTGGGAGCTTTTCAATCATGTGACGGTTGTGACAGCCAATCATGGCGTCTGAAAACTTTTAAAGGGCCAGGAGGCACCAGCGGGAAGGGGTTAAAAATTATATATATTTTTTCACATTTCTGTGTTGCTGCTGAGAAAGTTTCCTTCACTTTCATTAGGACAGTGACTAAGGGGAAACTCTCTAACAGGGCAACAGACAGCAGTAAAACTTGAGGTTCTAATCCTTACCTACTGTATCCAAAAATTAAACATAAATAAAAAAAAAAATGGTTATAGATAAACTTTAATTTTAGGTTAAAAGTATGATGTGGCCCAGTATGATACCCACCATACAGTCAAGGTCCTCTATACACTTCTACAGTCCTGAAGCTGACCATAGATAGTTCGGATCTTACATGCAGTTATTGCAAGGGGCTATTATAGCCGCTAGCAGTTATCACTGTGTTTGCCGGGAGTACACAATGGCTCCACGGGAGGGATTCCCCTATCAACACAAACCGTAGTTGCAGGAAAGAAAATCGCTCAGTCTACGGGCAACTCAACCTCTTCCCAACCGTGCTATAGCCGAAAGACGGCTACAGCGTGGTTGTCTAGTTCTGGGAGGGCGTCCTCCAAGAACACGCCCCCAGCACCGACCGCCGTGTCCTATGGACACAGCTGATCACGTGATGAGGTAAAAGGCCAATTACAGCAGCCTTTTACTACGTGATCAGCTGTGTACAATGAGTTATCGGCTGCACTTTCCTCATGCTGTCACAGCGTGAGGAAAGTACTGCCAATAACCACCAACTGTCAGAGACGAGATGGACACTGATGATCAGTACCCAACAGTGCCACCCAACCTGTGCCCTGCAGTGCCCCCTATCAGTGCTGCCTATCTGTACCACCTAGTCAGTGCCCATCAGTGCTGCCTATCAGTACAGCCTTCACAACGCACATCAGTGAAGGAGAAAAATTACCCGTTTGCAAAATTTTATAATAGAAACAAAGAAAAACTTTTCAAATTTTTTGCTCTTTTTTTGTTTATAGAAAATAAAACACCCAGTGGCGATTAAGCACGACCAAAAGAAAGCTCTATTTGTGTGAAAAAAGAAAAATGATAAAAATTTCATATGGGTACAGTGTTGCATGCCCGTGCAATTGTCATTCAAAGTTTCAGCTGAAATCTGAAAATTGGCTTGGGCAGGAAGGGGGAGTAAGTGCCCGGAAGGCAAGTGGCTAAGACTTCATTTAACACCACTGCACTGAAAAAAGTGGGAAATGCTCACTGTGATGAATAAAAAAAGAATAGTAAAAACAGTAAACCATGTGATGAGTCATTTACAACGCATTGACAGTTCCCTTCAAAGCACACACCAGCAACTGCGGTATATATGAATGAGCCCTTAAAATTATTTGATGCTGATAGAGGCATACTTCGATGTCATGCTCCCGAGCTATTCAACCTTTTGTTGGTAATCACCTCATTAGTGGTAACACTGAAATCAATGTGCTGAAAGTGAGGTGAATGGCGACAAGAAATTAAATTGCTCAGTAGCAGGAGGTTAATTGCCCATTTAGATTAGCCATATTTGTTCTGGATGTGCATAGATATAAATCGGGGCAGTAGATGACATCACTGAATCTGCAGATGGGTTATTAAACATAAAAAAAAGCTGCAAATTACCATTACATAGAGTTATAAAGGGCAATACATAACAATATCACATCACAGAGATGGCTCTCCAGCTGGCAGGGATGAATGGTTTGATCTGATTAAATCCCGATCTGCCATGGATAAACTGAACTTACTCAAGCCCCTCTTTGCAGTTATTGACCCAGCACCTTACCAAAGGTCATCCATACTCCCTCAGCAGTTATTGACCCAGAACCTTTCCAAAGGTCATCCATACTCTCTCAGCAGTTACTGACCCAGCACCTTACCGCAGGTCATCCATACTCCCCCAGCAGTTATTGACCCAGCACCTTACCAAAGGTCATCCATACTCCCTCAGCAGTTATTGACCCAGAACCTTTCCAAAGGTCATCCATACTCTCTCAGCAGTTACTGACCCAGCACCTTACCGCAGGTCATCCATACTCCCCCAGCAGTTATTGACCCAGCACCTTACCGCAGGTCATCCATACTCCCCCAGCAGTTATTGACCCAGCACCTTACCAAAGGTCATCCATACTCCCTCAGCAGTTATTGACCCAGCACCTTACCGCAGGTCATCCATACTCCCTCAATGACCTCTTCTGGCAGTGCTTGATAGAGAGATCCTTGTGGTGGTCAACCCTGTAGGAACTTACAATGCAGTACATACTGTAACACACATAAAATGCACTTTAAAAATACAATCACATACAAAATCTACTAGTGATGTTTAGCTTTCCCAACCATTTTTTCTAGGTGAACCCATCCCTATCCCTTCTCCTGCAGACGGGTTATACACTATCTACGAGACTGACCATGGACCTCAAGAGCGCAGTCCCAGAGGGGCGGAACTGGGGCTGGTGGAGCATATCATCGGGAGAACTTTGTTCCTGGCTGCCTCAGAAGGCGGGTTAAAGGGAGGAGTCAAGGGTCAGGTTGAACTGGGAAAGTGGGCGGAACTGTTGTCTCCTTTGGATGAATCACGTGCTAGCATCACATCTGTCACCAGCTTTTCTCCTGAAGGTGAGGTGTCCTCACAAGGCGACTGGACAGTAGTGGAGGTGGAAACATTCCACTGAGAGGCCCCACCCTTGAGGATTATTGAATGTTTAGGGCAGGAGCTCTACCTATGAGAAGCATAGCAAATATACAGGGTTTGAGCTCTGCCCATGAGGTGCACTGTGAAACCATGTAGAACAGCAGGAACAAGCTGTATGCATCATTGTGCAATATGTGAGTAATGTATGAGTGTGGAGCTTTGCACTATTTAAAGTTTTTGAGGTTCATGTGAATTCATGTCAATTATGAAAACTGTTTTTTCAAATAAAAGCTTATACTTATTAAACATCTTAGCGTGTCCAGTTAAGATACAAAAGACCACTGTACTCATGTTGAAAGACACTTTATTAGAGAAGTGAAAGGGAATCAAAAGAAAAAAAGACAGACTGAGAAACCCTTCTCCACCAAATAAAACAAGAAAAAAAAATAGAAAAATGGAAATAAACTATACAAATGTTCTTAAAAATGATAAACAGTAAGAGCAGAGAAAATATAAATTTTTGTACTCACTGTAAAATCCTTTTCTTGAGGTCCATTGAGGGGAAAAAGGAAGTCTTAAACCTTAAGGTTATATTGCCACCTACAGGAGGATGGCACAATTCCAGAAAAAACAAATGTAGGGAAGACCTAGGTATAACCCCTCCTGCTACCTACAGTGCCTCAAATTGTTTTCTAGAGTCATAGAAACAAGAGCAATGGCAGAAAAAAAGACAATACTCTTTGGCCAGCTGCAGATGAATTTTCCACCAACTCGCAGCTATCTGGCACAGTCATCCTCAGTCTCACTTTTGGATTGTGCATTACAGGATGATTCTAGAAGTGACCTACAGGCACTGGGTTCCTCTCTGTGAGTGCTCTACAGTTAACCTTTACTGGTTATGTTAGCTGTCCAGCACTCTTCAGGTCCAAAGCCACTAGCATTGCCTTGCACTGCCCTGTCTCTATAGACTCAATAATTAGCCTATTGGAACCAGGCAGCATGAGTTCCCTCCTGCCAAACAATGCCCGGGAAAAATCTCCCTGTTGCTGCTTCTAAATTACGGAGTAATTTATTTTTAAGCATTCATTCCCATTGTGGTCACAATCTGAAATGTCAGCTGGTGTGCAGAGCTGATGAAAATGTGATAATTGAGCATTATAAATAAAGTAAATGGGGGGACCCAACATATTATTTGACCAGACTGCTAACAGTTGAGCGCTATATTTAAACAAATTATGTTTTGCTATTTAGTGACAGGGTCCACCCTCACAGTTATATTTACCTTCACTGTGCTCCTTTGCCACTTCTGCTGCACAATACCCAGGGCCTCAAGGTAAGTGGGAGCATGTGACCTTCACCCGAGGCAGTGCTTGGGCCTAGCTATCAATCGTTATGCCTAAACACATGATGGAGGGGGGTGACAGCATGGTTCCCTGTAAGCTCCAAAATTGGGTATTGTTCTGTGGTGATGGGGTCACTTTACCCTTGACAGCACATAAGGGTTGTTAAAATTACCACTTAGCATTGTTCTCACTTTAGCATGCCTATAGAAAACCTATCCATACTCTAATAGTACCAAAAAAAAAGCCACAGATCTACAATGTAGGCCCCTACTGGTGTTTGCACATACTGTACCTTCTCTATTTTCTGAAATCCAGGGGTGCCGTAATATGCACATTTCAACCCTTCTTGATAGATCATTTACCTCTTCCCATATGTCACATTTGGCCTATGTCTATAATGGACGATAGACAGCCTAACTGGTTCAGAGGAACAAGTGGGAGGAGGCAGATGTGCATCCAATGATATCAGAAAGTGTGGGAATTTCCCTGCACATTCTGTTCTAGTGACAGCTGTAAACCTCTAGATTTCCCATCACTTTCAGTCCCAATAACAAAGTTCTATACAAATAGAAGGTGGATCCCCCACCAAGGAAACTGACAAAATCATGACAGAGGTTCTAAATCCTCATTACCTTATAAAAAGAAAGTTCTTCTTGTAAATATACCTTAAAGCTCAACTCCAGCCTAAAATTCTAATTTCATATGGATAGAGTAGGCCACAGCTCCTGTCATGTTCTAATGCCATTTGTGTCCCCTTTGCGGAGCGTCCCTCACTTCCAGGCAGATCAGGAAGTGGTGGGAAATCTCACCAATACTGAAGTTCGATGCAACCAATACATTTCAAACACAATTTCTGATTTCCTTACAGTTTGATAAGTAGAAAATAAATAACAAAGCTATTACGTCTCATACTTGCTATGGAGCTACAGTCCAATAAATAAGGTAACCCTCTCTTACCTGTCCATGTTACTGGTCCCTTTATAGGATCTAGGCTTTGCAAGTCATGGTGGGCTTACCCCCGAAGAGGCCTTCAGGGTCTGGATTCCATAGAGGTGGAACATGGCCCTTGACCTGTATACTACCCTTTTGCCAACTATACACATTGCAAGCACCAAGGTTAGCACCTAAGCAGGTTTCCAATGCCTGAAGCAGCCATTACAGGCCTTCCCCACGCTGGTTCCCAAAATCTTACTGAAATTGCATTTATCCAAATGCTCAGCTTCTATTGCTGTATCAGAAGGAAGAGTTGATTAAAGAATCCAAAGTTAAAATAAACTAAGGTCCATCAACTGAGGTCACTAGCAAAAAACTGAGGACTCAGAGTAGGGTAGGGGTATGTAGGGGAAGTCCAAGGGTCGTGACCGTAAAAAGCTTTGCCAGTGTCCAATCATTTGAAGGTACCAGCCTATAACCCAGGGTATATGAAGATCAAGCCTGTGACCTGCACTGTAGTATTAAAATATAAGCCTATCTTTTGTGAGCCCAGGTTATTCTATTTTTAGCTGTTACAATTCTTTAAGGATATATCTATAAATTAGTGAATGTGACATTCACCAATTAATCACTGCAGGTGAATCTTCGTAGTGCATGTTTCAAATTAGAGTGATTGATTTACTTGTATGTAACATAAGGGTATGTTGCAGCGGTTTGAGTGGTTCTACTGGGGCCATAGCTGCAGTCATGACCCCGGTAGCTTTTATTTCTTTTTGTAAGGGCCAGCGAAGCTCTATAATATCAAAGCTATCCTAGCAGCTAATTAGCTGCTGGATCACTAATATAGGCGTCAGGAGGGGTCGCCCCTAACCACCACCCATACCGATGCCTCCCCACCAGATCGGGGAGCTCAGCACTAAAGTTGGTGGTTTACATACAACATCTTTTATATTTTACCAGGCAATTGGGTATTATATTGTGCTTTTGTGCATTAAAGTGTATTTTTGTTTTAAAAATTGCATTTGAAAAACCGCTGCGCAATTACTGCTTAACATAAAAAAAAAATTCAAAACCAACCATTTAATTCTCCAGTGCCTCTGGTTAAAAACATATAGAACGTTTGGGGGTTTACTGATGTAAACAAAAACTGTCAAAATAGGTCAGGTCTTCAAGTGGTTAAATACACTGCTTAAAAAAATTAAATGAACCCTTTTTAATCAGAGTATAGCATTAAGTCCATTAAACTCGGGATATTGATCTGGTCAGTTAAGTAGCAGAGGGGGTTGTTAATCAGTTTCAGCTGCTTTGGTGTTAATGAAATGAACAACAGGTGCACTAGATGGGCAACAATGAGACAACCCCCAAAACAGGAATTGTTTTACAGGTGGAGGCCACTGACATTTTTTTCCCTGCTCATCTTTTCTGACTCTGTTACTAATTTTGCATTTGGCTAGAGTCAGTGTCACTACTGGTAGCATGAGGTGATACCTGGACACTACAGAGGTTGCACAGGCAGTCCAACTCCTCTAGGATGGAACATTAATAGGTGCCATTGTCAGGTTTGCGGTATCTCCCAGCACAGTCTCGAGAGCATGGAGGAGATTCCAGGACACAGGCAGTTAATCTAGGAGAGCTGGACAGGGCTGTAGAAGGTCCTTAACCCATCAGCAGGACCGGTATCTGCTCCTTTGTGCAAGGAGGAACAGGATGAGCACTGCGCAAGAGCCCTACAAAATGACCTGCAGCAGGCCTCTGGTTTGGATGTCTCTGACCAAGCAATACGAAACAGATTTCATGAGGGCGATTGGCATTTGCCATTGAACACCAGAATTGGCAGGTTCGCCACTGGCACCCTGTGCTTTTCACATATGAGAGCAGGTTCACCCTGAGCACATGTGACAAACGTGAAAGGGTCTGGAGAAGCCATGGAGACGGTTATGCTGCCTTTAACAGCGTTCAGCATGACTGTTTTGGTGGTGGGTAAGTGATTGGTCTGGGGAGGCATATCCATGGAGGGACACACAGACCTCTACAGGCTAGACAATGGCACTCTGACTGCCATTAGGTATTGGGATGAAATCCTTGGACCCATTGTCAGACCTTACGCTGGTGCAGTGGGTTCTGGGTTCCTCCTGGTACATGACAATGCCTGGCCTCATGTGGCAAAAGTATGCAGACAGTTCCTGAAGGATGAAGGAATTGATACCATTGAATGGCCCCCACGCTTGCTTGACCTAAATCCAAAAGAACACCTCTGGGATATGTTTCAGTCAATCCAATGCCGCCAGGTTGCACCCCAAACTGTCCAGGAGCTCAGTGATGACCTGGTCCAGATCTGGGAGGAAATACCCCAGGACACCATCCATCATCTCATTAGGAGCATGCCCAGACATTGACAGGCATGCATACAAGCACGTGGAGGCCATACAAACTACTGAGTACCATTTTGAGTGGCTGCAATTAAATTTCAGCAAAATGGATTAGCCTGCTGCATCATTTTTTCACTGATTTTTCGTGGCGTCTTTGAATTCAGTCCTCTGTAGGTTGATAATTTTCATTTTTATCAAACGATGGGGCATCCTTACTTTCCTAACACATTACCCACTCCATATCAGTATTGATATCCAGCATGATATTTTTCCCCATGTAGATCTGATGTGTTTTAAAAGTGTTCCTTTAATTTTTTTGAGCAGTGTATATGCTACTTAGTTTACCATTACAGGCATGGTTTCATCTTATAGACTTCCTCTTAAAGCCAACCTAT